ATACCGATATATCGGCGGATAATATCGGCTAAACGATATATCGGTCGGGCTCTAATATATATACACTGTATGGAACAGAGCAGCTTGGATATTCTGCTAAACTTTGTTGCTCCTCTGAAAAACATCATACAGTTTCTGAACAATGCAAGAGTGAGGAAATTATGTAAATGACGAGAGTGAATAAATATTCACTTATGGGTGAACTATTTCTTTTCTTGCTGATCCTGCTGTACAGTAACTCACCAAAGTCTATGGTTGTGTCTGGCCGGGACATGTTTATGGTCAACACATTGAGAGGCCAAACTTCCAGTTCATCATAGACCTGTTAAACAAGAGCAGAGCATCATTGTTGCTGTGTGATAAAGCAAGGTTTTGTGAAATTAGTGTGTATAACAAGAAAAAAACAGCTTAGACTAGTTTGGACTTGCTTAAATTCCAATCCAACTAGTTTTAGATGGGCAACGTTAGGTTAACAGAACAAACTGGTTAAGATGGTTATTGTTGCAGGCAATACTAATCTAAATAGAGTTTAGCTTGAACAATCTGCTTTATAAAGTGTGTTTTCGTCTCACCAGGGTCCTCAGCTGGTCTGTGGGCACTGGAGTACTTCTCTCCACATCTTGTCCCAAATGTCTCCTCGTGTGCAGGCAGTGCAGAGCTGGGTCAAGCTGCTTTGCCTACAAAAGACAATGATATCCACTATTACATTCATATAGAGATCAATATGGAGCTCAGAATGTGTAATGATTTATTAAATCATCTCAAAGCGAATGCATCCTGTGAGAACCTCAAGTTATTGTGCACGCTTTCTGTCATTTCATGAGGTCTGAACCAGACACAAGAGACCACAAAAGACAGAAAATGCAAACGCATGAACTTTAGTTGTTCGTGTTTTTCTGGTTATGGCCATTTCAGGTCACTGGGTCTGTGAGAGGTGATTGCTGAATTACCTTGCAGGCCAATGAGAGAACATCAGCAACCAGAGAGTCCTGTTTGACTGGCACACTGACGACCTGACTGTCCGGCATGAGCACGTACACCCGGCTTTCCAGACTGCAGTCCCACGGGTTACCTTCAGGAGGCGCTGTTATATGCATTTTGGTAAAGACATCCAACTTCTGCTGACAACAGGCAAGAGGATAAAAAAGACCAAAAGTGAAAAACGTATAGATCAATGTCTCAGTTTGAAATAATTCAATAGCTTAGTATGAAATATGACACTGATAATTGAGATAATATTAGTTGCTTTATATAACTTTGCATTATTATTTAATACTGCAAATAGTAAAATAAAGTCCCTGTGCATTCAGTGTGGACATCAGAACCACGTTTCGTCTGCTACACCGACATAAATGATGTTAACTTTTACACTTTTTATGATTTTATGATTTATGATTTTACGCTGTTTTATGCTACTAGTCTTGATATATAACCATCAACTATATGAAATGCTAAATGTTTAAACTGAAATGTGCTGCAAAATAATTGCAAAATGATTTCTTATTTCTTATTCTTATTTTCTAAAACTATATCTTACTTTCTTTATTTATTTATTTATTAATAAAATAAATAAATAAATAAAAAAGTAAGATATAGTTTTAGAAAATACCAAATAATAGCAATGCTACCAATTTGACAGTAGCTATTATCAAAATAGCTTTTTCCAATAATAGTATGATATCACTACAGTGTATCGTCTTTTCATTTCCCTTGTGAAAAAGAAGTGTGATTAATTGTTCTGAATGTGGGCTTGCAAATAATATAATATTCACAAATTAAGTGTACTTAAAGAGATTACTTTTATGACTGTTTCTTAAGACACTTAAGTACTTTTAAAAAGTGCACTATGTAAAAGTGGAGGTTTTACAGTACGTTGAATCATGTTGTACTGATCTTTTGTCACATTTTAAAGTACAATTATTCTGATGTGCTGACTAACATACTAAAGCACATTTAAAGTACTTGATCATAATAAAATCATTGATTATTATTTTTCAATTATTTATACATAAAAATAGCTTGATGCTGGAACATAGCATTACGTTTACAGCTGCCTTTCTAGCAAACAAAACGTGAGAAAAAAATCCACTCCTCAAACTTTCCTCTGCTCTTGTTCTGAGCCAGCCTGCTGGGTCAAAGCCAGGTGCCAACAACACTAATATGGATCTTTAGCGCACTCTTTATTCTTTGAGAGGGAGAAAGGGGGGTCACGTCCCTTTTCACTGACTCAACTCACACAGCTGTCACAACAACCTGCTGATCTGTTGACATTATGCAGTGCAAACAGATCACGGGGTGGAGAAATGGCCAGAATGGGGGAGGTTCGTTCAATGTAATTCTATTGTCCTTCAGCTGCATCCTCAATATGGGGACTTGACAATGCAATGGCGGAATAGATCTGCTACGCTGCTGCTGCTGCTGCTGCGGCAGAGCAAATACCGAGATATGCTACTGCCAATACTTTCACAACATGCTGCTGTGAGCATGTAAGAAATATTGCTGCTGCAAATATAACATACATAAAATAACTCCCATATAGCATACATGAATCACCCCGTAGCAGATCTATACAGGTGGAGCTTGGGAAGGTGGAGGGTTTCTGAAGCAAGCTGCAACTGCTACAGCAAACACTAGTCATATATTTGAATGTTGGGCAGCGAGCTCATTGGCTACTGATACAGGAGAGAACCAATCAGCTGTGTCATGTCATAATTATGTCATTAGGTCAGATTGAGTTAGACCTATCGGACTGCACCATCTAGAGTTTCATGCCAGAACTCTGTATTTAATGTCATTTTTATTGAAGCGTGTAGGTTGTCTATTTAAATATTTTTAATTACATGTTTGTAATGATTGAGTTGCAATTTAGTATTTGTAAAATATATTAACTATCAATGTAATATCGAATAACATAACAATTAAAATTATAATCAAGTGCTTTATTATGTTAATTAACATATCAAAATAAGTGTACTTCCTTAAAGCACAACAAAATATTATTAAAACATGATTTTTATGATGGATGGACGCACTTTTTTGGCCTTCAAAAATCTCAACCCCCATTCATATTATAAAGCTTGGAAAAGCCAGGACATTTTTTAATATAACTCAGATTGTATTCGTCTGAAAGAAGAAAGTCATATACACCTAGGATAGCTTGAGGGTGAGTGAATCATGGGGTAATTTTCATTTTTTGGGTGAACTATCCCTTTAATGCGATTCAACACACCTTTTTCTCCCACAGTGGCTCACAGAAGATGTGATTTTCACTTGTTGCATTATGGTCTGAGCTGCTTTGTGTGGATGGATGACCAAATGATCCAGAGGAATATCCTTCAAAAATCTGCATCACAAACACACATACAGAAACATTAAACACACATCGTAAGAAATGCAGAGCAGCATCCAGGCTAAAAAAAGCAGCATGCTTCTATGTCCATGCTTTAATTAGAAACCATCAATCTGAGGCGCCAGCTTTGATACTATTCTGATTGTAGATCACAGCAGAAATAACCCTGAGGTTTGCTGGGAAATAATGAGAGGTCTGGAAGATGCTAAAATTATATGTCTATAAAAGCTGACAGATGGATCAGCCGTAATCATGAAGGCAGAGTGGGAGACACGGCCTCCCCTCACCCAAGACACCCATGTGCCATACATAATTATTATATGGATGTAGTCTATACAAACAGACAAGGGTATGGCTTGTCCTCTACAAATAATTGAAAAGGCAAAACCCAAAATACCAAAAACTGACATAAGCTTTGTTCCTGCAGTGAGGTGGACTCCTCACGGTACATAGACAGCTAGTTACATAATAAAACAGCATCCTGTCTTGAATAAAACCTCACAACTGACTGAACTGAAACACTATTTATGAGCAACAAGGCAGTTAACATCACTAATAGTGCTACACATGCGAAGCGCACAAGACACTCGACTTATACTCATGGTTAAAACAGAATATTATGTTAGCATGTTGCTAAGCTAACAACACAATGCTTTAAAAAATAAAAACAGAAAATCCTGCTGAAAAAACAGCTGAAAACAGCC